TAGAGCGATAAAAATTTTAATATATATATATATATATATATATATATATATATATGCTTTTCAAAATAGGAAAGCTATGTAAATGAGTTAAACTACAAGCATGAACTTCATGAGTACCCTCTCAAATCAAGAACCAAGGAGACAACGAAAAGGAATAGCAAAAATTTATGGCTGATAGCTTAATTTTGTATGTTTTATTTAATTTTCAAATTACTATTTGTGTGCATATATATAAGACTGGATTGCTTTAAGAAGAGCCCAATTACTCATATTTTCTCTTTCACTGGGGTATATTTGCAAAATCCAGTTGTATCCAACCTCCCCCCCCCCAACAATTTACAAATATTTATCTAAATGATTGTTGCTAAATTGAGTGCTTTCATTTTGTTAATTATGTGTTGGTTTGCTTGGAATTACCAACATCGGTAGGCTCTCAGAAAATTTTTATTTTATATAAAACTAATTAAAATGTTAGACTTTTAAAATCACCCTCAGGGTAAATCTTTCCCTAAATAAAAAAATAATAATACATGCTCACGTAAGACCATTCTTTTAAACAAAATGAACTCACATTCTGTGTTTATATGAACATGTACTTAGCACATAGTGTTGTTTGAACTTTTTCAGAAGAAGTTATATAATCAACAAGAGTATAGTTATTTCACTCATCATGACAAAGTCAAAACTCTCATGTATGTTAGATCAAGTCTTCATAAGGATAGATGATTTTACATCATGCCTGTCCAATAGGGCATATTTGCTCCATTTAAACAGGGCTGCTATCATGATTCGTTAAACTCAGGTGCTAATCGAGTACACTGGCAAATTAGTGGTTGTTTAGGTCCATAAAGGATTCTAAGGCCTATTTGGGTAGTTTGACTCTACTAGTCAAACTATTTTTGTCCTCCCGCTCTATAGGATCTCTCTTCATATTCTAAGGAGAGTGAGCCTTATATCCTTCATATCAGATACAGTCTAGGACTTGTCTTCCTTGGCTCCAGATCTACAACATTTTTAACGACATATTTCA